ACACACACACACACACACAAAGAATCCCCTTCCTTTCACCACACAAGGGGTGGACTATGGGTGTGGAATGTAGCATATGCTGTCAGACAAGGATAACATGTGGTTGGTTATGCTAAATTATTTTTTCTCTTAAAAGTCTTTGTTTTAGGAGAAGGCTTACTGGGAAGGGGAGAGCTGAGCAGAGGGGGCATGTAATGAAGTGAATGTGATGTAAAAACAGAGAGCTACCAACAAAAAAAGGCAGTCAAGTAGGCTTCGAAGAGATTTTTCTCTCTGGATGGGACAGATGTACCCCTTAACCAAGAGAACAGAAGGTTCTAGAATGGGGCAGGGGCTCTAGAGAAAAGCATTAGGGGGATGTGTTATTCTGGGTCCATTATAAATACTAACACACCCACTGCTGCAGAAAGATTAAGTGGGATTCTGTGCCTCATCTTACCCAAAATCAGGGTCCAACCTGCTCTGTCCCCGACCCTAACAGGGCAAGGTGAGAGGGACTCACACTGGAGTTGTCATTCAATTCTCCCATTCATGCCTAGAGACAAATGTTTCCCTTTCCTTCTATGCCCATTTCCTCTGGTTGAAGGTTCAGAAGAGTGGATTATCCCACCCCTCCCCCCTCTTTCCCCCCCTGTTCATGGCCCCCCCCAGAGCAGCCCCAACAAGAGACTTGGAGATTCAGGTCTCTTCCACTTTCAGCAACCTTCAAACCTCCATCTCTCTAACTTCCAAGGCTTAAAAATCTCTTGTACCCTATCTCCCACCTCCCCTCCCTCACTGGAGGCTCAGCCAAGGGGAGGGGGGGAGGGAGAAATCATGCCCTAGGTCATGGTCAAGCAGCCCAGGGTCCAGGGTCACAAAGTTTGCTCTGGGCCTGTCTGAGTAGCTCTTTCCTGGAAGACATTTTGGCTTTGTTTACATTTGCAGGCGAGGCGCTCGCTCCAAGGCAACATGGCTGTCACTGGCCTTGATGGCTGACAGCAAGCCCCCCACCTCCAGCCCCGCTGGCACTACTAGCACCCGGACCCGAGTGCAGCCCCCACCAAGCGGCTGTCTGCTGGGGGTGGAGGGGGGGGTGGGGAGGCCCTGGCTCTTCCCGCCACACTAGGGGCCCCACTTCCGCACTGGCTTGCTTGCATAAGTCTAAAATCTTTGGGGATGGGTGGAGGAGAGGTGTGGGTTTAGGTCTCTCTACTTCCCCCCCTATCAACCTTCCTACCCCCCACAATAACTTACCATCTGGTGATGAGGGTGGCTGTTGGGAATGTTTGTTTCTTGGAAAAACGTGCTCAGGGCGGTCTGTGGACAAACACAGGGTGGCAGTTAGCCAAGTCCGGGGTGGGAGGAGAGGGGAGGGTGGAAGGGCAGAACCCCAACAGAAGCTCCCGTCCGGTCAGGATTCCCACCACTCCCTCTGCACCGCTGCCCCAGCCTAAACCCAAAGCCGGTTATCAGCTCAGCATCTGCCTCCAACACAGCACCCCACCCCCCTAACCCGTCCTTGCAAGGCCAAGCTAGGGCAGTCCCCCCTTTTCTTCCAATCGCCAAATCACCCTACTCATCCCTGCACCGAGCCCGATGTCACTCGAGTTGAAAGTCGCCCCTGGTTCCCACGTGGAGAAATAAGCAATAGGGCCACGGTGGGTGGAAGAGGTGCGGGACAATCCAGACACTTCCGCACCCCCCATCCTCCAAGCATCTCCCTTACAACCGCTTTTCCTCGAACCACTCCCCCTACCACCAGGAGAGGAACCACGTCCCTTGACTGCCTTCACCCCCCCTTCAGGAAAAGCGAGGCCCAGCGCCCTGCGGGAGCTCCACGCGACACCGCGATCCCCGGGTGGGCACGGGCTCTCCTTCCTCAGGCCCTGACATCAATGGCCCACCCCTCCCCCGTCACCTAGAAGCAGAAAAGGGCAAGGGTGGGAGAAATTCAAGCGCCCCTCTTTCCTGGGGGTCTGAGAACTCATGGGTCAGTACCTCACCCCCTTCCCCAAATAAACCTGGGGCAGAGGCGAGGGGGGAGACAGAGGTGTGTGTATTCGTATGTATGTGTATGTGCGTGTATGTGTGCGTGGGAGCTGAACCCGCCGCTTCCCACTCGTGGCCTGGTCTGGCCCCGTGGTTTATTTAAAGATACACACACACACACACACACACACTATTCTTGGACTGGGTCCGGCAGGAATAGAAATAGAAGAGGGGAAGCGCAGGGGAGGCGGCGGCGTGTAGTGGAGGCGGGTGCCCGCCCGGGGCATAACGGGAAGCCTGAGCCAAGCCCCGGGCGCCCGTCAGTCCGTCCGTCCTCCCGGCGGCCGGAAAAGCACGAACGCACCTCGAACTGCCAGTGGGCCGCCTGCAGCATCTGCTTCGCCTGATCGGCCGCGCAGCCCGCAGCCAGCACGAACTGGTTGATCATGACCTGGTGCCTGAGCTCCTCCATATTCACCGACATGGCGAGAAGAAGCGAAGCCGGCACCAGCCGCCCAGCGGGGAAGAAGAGAGTCCGATGTCCGAGGCGGCTGGGGGAAGCGGGGAGGCTTCCGCCGATGCTGGCTTCCTCCTTCTCTCTCGCCTTTCTCTCCGGCCTGCGCCCGCTGCCTCCTCCGCCTGCTCTTCTCTTCCTTCCCAACCCCCAGCAATCGCCGCCTGCGCTCCCTCCCCTCCCTTCGGCCCAAGCAGCCTGCTTCAATCGGCCCCGACCGGACGAATGTTGTGGTTCGCCCGCTCTCCCTCCTCCCGGGGAGAACACCACAAACAACAGCGCGGGGCGGGGCCTGGGAGTGTCCCAACGTTCGAGGCCCTGCGTTCCCCGGCCGCTGATTGGACGACGCGCCTCTCCGCCAGAGCCCTGGCGCATGTATGGAGGTTCGATTCGAATCCCCGAGTCTCGGAGGCTGTTACTGTTGCTCTTTTTTTTTTTTTCTTGCCCCCCCCCCCCCCCCCTGGCCTAGTCCATTGGAGGAGGCTTGAGCTGTCGGGCTCCCTGGGCATTGGCTGTTTGCTGTGTTTTGGCTTCTGGGGCCGGTGGTTGGCTGCAACCTAGCAGTTGGGGAGGAGCCGCCGGTGCTGATTGGCCATTCATGCTCCTGTTTGAACTCAACTTCAAAACCTTGAGTGTTTCCTGATTGGCTGAGGCCCTTCTGTTTTCTGTTGTAGGAATGGGGCTGGTGTAGCCAAGTTCATTCATTACTTCATTGAAACTGAACATGCTCAGCTGGAAAAGCAAGCCTGAGTGGGTTTGACTCATTTCCTCTCGAAGATGTGGTCATCTCAAGAAACAGAATTATCAAAATAGAAAACAGACAGAGTTGTTGCAGCTGCTCAAATCACAGTCGTATAACTTTCAAGACCCCTCACTTTTTTTTTCTTTTTGCAAAATTTTGGAACTTTGATCTTTGAAAATTTAAAGCAGTAAGAATTTACAATGAATATTGTAAGCATTCCACTGATGCAGAGAAAAAATACATATTGTCTCAGTCTTTAGAGCTGAAGTTTGTTTTTTTTCTTTCTTTTTTTTTTTGTTTTGTTTTTCAGGACAAACCGAAGCTTTAATTTCCTTAAAAACAAACAAACCAACCACGGGGCTGTAACTGTTTTCCTGGCTCATTAAAAACCAAAACAAAACGAAATCAATTTGATCTTAAGGACCTGGTCTTTGGGAGTTTCTGAGTTATGGGGAAAAGGAAGAGAATAGGAGTGTAATAGTATATGTTTATTTGGCCTATGGGGGGTGGGGTGGGGAGGGACATCCTTTCCTACAAGGAGACCCAGCTGTAGGTGCACACAGAACTGGATTCTGTCCTGCAGAAGGCTGATCTGTAAAAAGAGGGGATCATGTTATTCTAGCTCTCTTTGGCTCATTCTAGCTCTCCAGAATTCTGAAGATAATTTCTCAGTTTACATTTGGCCCATTTCCAGGGTCTCACCAAAGAGAAGATAATCAATGTATGAAGTAGCAGATATGAAGTATAGGATAGGCATTTATTTTCTGTCACAGAAGACATGCTTAAAACACAAGACTCATAAGCTTGAATTGACAAATACTTAAAATATAAAACTAGCCCCAACGTTCCTTGGATACTCTCCACTGAGGTGAGAAAGACTGAATGGGACAGTTAAAGATTCAGAGGGCTCAAGGGAGCCCATATGCTGATATAGAAACATATATTACCTATTATAAATCTCCTGGGAAGAAAAAACTCTTGGGAGACCTGTAAGGCTGCTGAACAGGTTTGATTTTCCTTTCATTCTGTACTGTCTGAGCAGCAACTCAAGGTCTAGATCTTCTGGCCAGCTTCTAATGCATGGGTCATCTTCCTGGTGGTAACCTTTTTTTTTTTTCTTTTGCAAGGCAATTGAGGTTAAGTGACTTGCCCAGGGTCACTTAACTAGTAAGTGTCTAGTATCTGGTCTCAGACTGGATTTGAACTCAGGTCCTCTTGACTCCAGGGGCAGTGCTCTATCGACTGTGCCACCTAGCTGTCCCAGTAATCTTTTTTAAGAAGACTTTAGTTGTAGAAAGCTGCTGCTAAACGACTTCTAGGAAGTCCCACCTTCCTGTCCTTATGAAGTAGCAGCCAAGGCTAGAAACATGTATCTCAGTATTGTTGTTCACTTACCTGTGCTGAGGAGAAGAAATACAAAGCAGAAGAGGGAGCTAAGGACTTGAGATCTAGGCTCAAACTCACTCACCCAAGCAAGCATATGTGAAGTCACTGGTATTCAGATGTAGCTGTCAGAGTGAGAAAGAGAGAGAAAATCCTTCTGTCAGAAGGTCCAAGGAAGAGCTTGTTGGAATCCCAAATCACAAATTCAAAAGAGAAAAGAAAGCAAGAGTGGAAGTTGTTTCTCCTTTTAAAGCTTACTGAATGGGAAGCTCTTTCTGCTCAATCATCTTCAACATTAACCCCCAGTGGTGGGCTCAACCAGGGAGGGGTCTCTGGTCTTGTGTGTCTTTTTACATGGATCTGAGAATGAGGCCTACCTCTGAGGGACTAGAATACAGGTTCAACTCCATGGAAAGTACCCAAATCTAGCCACACATGGTGATCCTCTGATTCTATTTGGAGAAATTATATATGGAGAAAGGGACCTGGAGTATTGTAGAATATGAAGACAGAGAAGTGGGTGGGGAGAAATATATAGAGAAAAGTAGGCCTAGAGAACAGATACTATTGAATGTGTTTATGTCTAGTTCTAAGTAGAAGGGAACTTAGATCATTTAGTCCAGCCCTTTCATTTTATAGATAAGAAAACTAAGCCCCAGAGAAGTTCAGTGATTTTTCTCTAGGTAAAGGTTCTTTACCTGGACTTTGTGAATTTGTGTGTGTGTGTGTTTAAAATGTTTTATTAACTGTTTTTTAATAGAATTAGTTTCCTTTGTACTCCTATGTATTTTATTTTATGTATTTGAAAACATTCTGAAAAGGGATCCATCAGCTTCCCCAGACAAGTCAATGGGATAGGGTACATGTCACAAAAAAAAAGCTAACAATCCCAATTCCCAGTAAATAGCAGAGCCCAGATCTGATTCCAAACCCACTGTTCTTTCTATTACATTCTGTAGGACTACTGTTTATGATATATGGTCTAGCCAGTCAGATCTGTAGGGACGCAACATGGTATATTGGAGTGACCTAGATTTTAATCTAATACCCTGTAGGTGTAGGATTTTGGGGAAGCCACTTAACCTTTGAGTTTCAGTTTCCTCATCTGTAAATCTGGATAATCAGAGGTTCCCAAATTTATTTGGCCAACCGCCCTCTTAAAAAAAAATTACTCAGCCCCCCCATTCTACTTTCTTTAACCCTTTAACAGTTTTTTTTAAAATTTGCATCATTTAAAAATATATAATTTTTTTAATTGATGCATTTTAAATTTAATAATTTATCATAAATTTGTGGGGTGTTTTCCTGAACTGAAATCTTGATGACACAATATTGCATCATGTAACCATATAGTATTGTATTGTAAACAAGTCATTACAGGAACATATTCCTGCATATGCATGCTGGACCCAACAATGGGTTATTCTTTCATCTGCCAACACTTGCTTGTTAAGACCCGTTGGCACACTTGACCACTGATCAGTTATAACTTGTATTTTGTGTATTTATTTGGAAAACAATGTAATCACTACAACTTTAACTCTGTTACACAACAGATGAAACATGTACAAACAGTTTTTCAAAATTTTCTTCTCTTCTTTCCTTATTCTTCTACCATCCCCTTATTGTTATTGAGGCCCCCCCCCCCCCGCAATTGCACCAGAGGCTACAACAGACCCCCTGGATCCTTGGGGGGGGGGACCAGGGCATGGTATCACTCACTTTGGGAACCACTGGGGATAATAATACTTTTAGTAAAGAGTGGGAGAGATGTAAAGTGCTTTTTAGTCCTTAAAGTGGTATATAAATGCCATTATTATGACAAGAGACAAAACCATAGTCTTCTTTTGTCTTTGTCCATATGCTTGTCTGTGGAAATGTAGTGCTCTGATGAATTGATCATAGTAGAAAGGATTTTCATTGTTCTGTTGTCCTGCTCAGGATAGGGATGGGACCTGTGATTTCATTGTCATTGGGAACTTCCTGCTTGGGGAAACTCCCTCTTACCCAAGTACTTGGCACCTTCTCTGTCATATATGATCTTAGAGAGTTGCTGGCAATCTTAGGGCTGAAAGGTTGAATGATTTGCCGAGGGGTTACATGCCCAGTATGTATGAGACACAAGACTTGAACCCAAGTATTACCTCCCATGTTTCAGGGCTGCTTTTCATCCACTACATCGTGCTGTCTCCACTTCTTTTTGAAGGGATTGGGATTTGGCTTCTTACTTGCTGAAACTTGTGTCTCTCTGGCAGCAAACAGATTTCAGAAGCCCCAGGACACCACAGTGGGCAGGAGCACCCGAAACATAGCTGTCCTCTTCCTGTAATTGCAGGGTGAGAACAAAAGTGAGCAGCCTCCAGCTTCTATTGCTAAGGAATTCAGACAACCAGTGGGCAGAAGAACAAGGAAGTGTGGTAACTGGGTGAATCCAGGCTCCAGAAGAACATACAAACAATAAAAACACAAGGCTCAAAAGCAACATGATTCTGCCACCTAAGACAGAGAAGGTTTAGGGGGGAAGGGGGAGGGTGAACATTGTCCCTCCTCCTAAATAAAGAACACTCCAAATCTCACTCCAGATAATTTAATTTAAAAACACTGAGAACAGGCAGAGTCTTGAAAATGCAAAAATCATAGAGTCAATTGTTTGCTAGGAAGCAATTGTTGTTGTTCAATCTTGTCCAGCTTCTCCTGACCTCGTGGACCATACTGTCCATTGGGTTTTTTTGGCAAAGATACTAGAGTGGTTTGCCATTTCCTTCTCTGGTGGCAGTTAGGTGACTTGCCCAAGGTCACACAGCTAGAAAGTTTCTGTAGCTGGATTTGAATTCAGGTCTTCCTGACACAAAGCCCAGCGCTCTATTCACTGTGCCACTTAGTTGCTCCCTCCACCCCAGGTAGAAAGGTAGTTCACATTTACTCAGATATGCCCAATTGGATAGCTCATTGTTTTAGGGCCTGAAAGGTTAAGGACAGAAACTGAACCTGTGATTTCATTAATATAGGGAACTCTTTACCAATGCG